CCTGCGGCACTTCATGCTGGGCACGGCGCCCAACCTGGCGCGCTGGGACTACCACACCACGCACATCAACCAGCTGCAGCTGCTGGGCTCCATCGACGACGCGCCCGTCTTCAGGGAGTTCGTCAAGAGGTGGAAGAGTTACCTGCGGGGAGGGCGGGCCAAGCACAACTGAGCTCCTCCCCGTCCTCGCCGCGGTTCCGGCGGCTCCGTCCCAAAATTGTGGGCCTTAAAAAAAACTGCTCCGGGGAGGGTTTGGGATGGGGACGCTCTCTCCCGCGTTGAGGTTGGGTTTTGTTGGGATTGGTTTTTCCTTTTCCAGGGAAAACGTTTGCAGAAGCCATACAAGTCTTGGAAGCGCGGTCGCTGCCTGGAGAGCTCGCCCAGGGCCTCTGGAACCGGGATTTTGTGTCCGTGTTGGAGCAGCTCCCGTGGGATGAGCGCCGTCCACGGGAATCACTCGGAGCCTGGGAGTGCAAAGCGTGGCTTTAAAGTGGGGGGGGGGATTTCTTAGGGATTCGCTTTTTCGGGATGGAAAATCCACAGTTGGAATCTTTTGCCAGTTCTCTGTCTGGAGATCCTGGAGCTGGAGGGTTTCTTCATGGAAAACACGTGCCCAGCATCATGGAAGCACAACTGGGAGCCTGGAGCGCACAGCCCCGGGCCACCAGCACCCGTGTCCCCTCGGAGCTGGGATCCTTATCCTGGTGTCCCCTTGGAGCTGGGATCCGTTATCTTGGTGTCCCCTCAGATCTGGGATCCTTATCCCTGTCACTGGAATTCCCTCGGAGCTGGGATCCTTATCCCTGTCACCGGTGTCCCCTCAGATCTGGGATCCTTTTTTCTGGAGTTCTGTGTTTTCTATGGGATTTTGGAATTCCATCTGGGAGGTTCCTCAGAGCTTTGGGGACGTTTTCAGGAATTGCTGAGTGGGACATGGAGCTCGTCCGGAGTTCCTCAGGAAATTCAAGAATTTGGGAATTTTCATTTTTTTCTCCTGCTCCAGCTCATCCAGCATTGTAACAATTCCATCCCAGAGGTTTTCCAGCTCTCCCTGGGATGGAATTCCCAGAGAAGCTGTAGCTGCCTCTGGATCCCTGGAATGTCCAAGGCCAGCTTGGAGCAGCCTGGGACAGTGGAAGGTTCCTATGGAATGGGATGAGCTTTAAGGTCCTTCCCACCCAACCATTCCATGATTCCATGATCCCACCGGCTGCCTGACCCTGAAATCGAGGATGGACTTTGGGAATTCCCACTGCTCCCATTCCATGGTGGAGCTGATCCCAATCCCAAAATCCCGGGCACAAGGACAACGCCCATCTCCATCTTTTCATTGCTTTCATTTTTTGAGGGTTTCCCTTCATTTCTCACCGCTCTCGGAGCGACCTTTTCCCGGCTTTAATCCGCGCGCTCCGGGCAATCCCACCCATCCAAAGCATGGCAGAGGAGAAATCCCAATACCAAAGGTAGCAGAGGGGAATTTTTTCCATGCCCATGGAAACCCGGCAGACACAAACCCACCCCAAACCTGGGATTCCTTCCCAAAAATCTGCCCCATCCTCCCCTGACGTGTTCCTTCCATCTTTTTCCCAGTTGGAAAACCCGGAGATCCTCCTTGGGTGCTGCTCCAGGATGGTGTTGGTGCCTTACAGAGGCCGGAATTCCTCTTGGTTGGGTTTTTTGGGAATTGATGCTGATGGTGGGGTTGGAATGTGGCCGATTTCTGCACTCTGGAAGTGCAGGATGGGCATTCCAAGGTTGTTCCTCCTGTTCCACCTCTTGTCCTTCCATCTGGTGGCCTTAGACAGGTGGAGCTTCCAGGAATCCCCAGGGGCTGGAAATCCATGGAGAATCCATAGGGACATTCCTGGCATTCCTTAAATTCCGTTGTGCATTGGAAGAGGGTCCTTGACCGTGCCGGCAGTGCCCAAAACTTCATGGAATTCATTCCAGTTTGGGATCTTTTTGTTCATTTTCCACCTTCAATCTCCCAAAGATCTTTGGGACCAAGATCAGCTTTGATCCCAGATTTTCCTGTGGGGATCCATTGGCTCTTCCCGTGGGATTTTTTTCCCCATGGATGCCGCTGGAAGTTTGGGATGGAGCATTCCAAGGTTGTGCCCTCCTGTCCTTCCATCACCTTCTGCTGTTCCTTAGCACAGGTGGATCCCAGGAATCCCCACTAGAGGCTGCAATTCCATGGAGAATCCACAGGGAATTCGTGATATTCCTTAAATTGTGCATTGGAGGAGGACCCTTGGCCATGGCTCCGATCCCCAGAACTTCTTGGGATTCATTCCAGTTTGGGATTTCTTTGTTCATTTCCACCTTCAAACTCCCGGAGATCTTTGGGACCCGGATCAGCTCCAATCCCAGATTTTCACCCGGAGATCCGCTGGCTCTTCCCATGGGATCCCCTCTCCGTGGCTCCCCCACCCCAACAGCACAAGCACAACCCCCCTTGGGAATACGGCATTCCCTGGAATCTGGGTGTTCCCTGGAATCTGGCATTCCCTGGAATCTGGTGTTCCCTGGAATCTGGGAGTTCCCTGGAATCCGGCGTTCCCTGGGATCCGGCATTCCCTGGGATCCAGGCGTTCTCTGGGATCCAGCATTCCCTGGGATCCCGCATTCCCTGGGATCCAGGAATTCCCTGGAATCTGGCATTCCCTGGGATCTGGCGTTCCCTGGAATCTGGTGTTCCCTGGGATCCGGGCATTCCCTGGGATTCCACATTCCCTGGGATCTGGCGTTCCCTGGAATCTGGCATTCCCTGGGATTCCACATTCCCTGGAATCCAACGTTCCCTGGAATCCGGCATTCCCTGGAATCTGGCGTTCCCTGGGATCCAGGCATTCCCTGGGATCTGCCATCCCTTGGGATCCGGCATTCCCTGGAATCTGGCATTCCCTGGAATCCGGTGTTCCCTGGGATCTGAGCGTTCCCTGGGATCTGGGCATTCCCTGGGATCTGGCGTTCCCTGGAATCTGGTGTTCCCTGGGATCCAGCGTTCCCTGGGATCTGGCGTTCCCTGGAATCTGGGCATCCCCTGGGATCCCACATTCCCTGGAATCCGGCATTCCCTGGAATCTGGGCGTTCTCTGGGATCCGGCATTCCCTGGGATCCGGCATTCCCTGGGATCCCACATTCCCTGGGATCTGGCATTCCCTGGGATCCCACATTCCCTGGAATCTGGCATCCCCTGGGATCCCGCATTCCCTGGGATCCCACATTCCCTGGGATCTGGCATTCCCTGGAATCTGGGCATTCCCTGGGATCCGGGCATTCCCTGGGATCCCACATTCCCTTGAATCTGGCATTCCCTGGAATCCGGTGTTCCCTGGGATCCAGCGTTCCCTGGAATCTCGCATTCCCTGGGATCCCACATTCCCTGGGATCCAGGAATTCCCTGGAATCTGGCATTCCTTGGGAGCCGCTCATTCCCGTTCTCCTCCTCCTCCCCGGGCGTGGCTTGGCTGGGATTTTGTTGGATTTCCCGGGGTTTTCCCGAGGATCCCGATGGAAAATATGCAATAATTTGTTTACAGGATGCTCCGGGCTGGGCGCTCCTTTAAGCACAATGTGCACAGGATAGTTTTGTATTCCGCCCCTCCGGAATTTTTGGCGGGAAGAGGTTCTCCTACGTTTCTATGGGACATTGGGAATGCTTGGAAAGCTTTCTAAGACTGGGAAATAAATTTTTTTATCTTAAGAAAAAAAAAAAAAAACCAAAACAAACCTTGGGATGTTTTCCTTATTTGGGGATTTTCCAGGTATTTTATTTTCCAAATGTATTCCAAGATTTTTTTCCTGTGGTGGTGGCTTTGAGGTGTCGTGGTTTTAAGGAGGTTTTTTTCTGGAAAAGTGGGAAAATGTGGATTTTTTCCTATTAATTAAGGGTTTGGTGGTTGAGGGAAGGAACACAACTGGTGGATTCCTGCTGGGAATTATTTTCCTGGTAAATCCAGCTCGTTTGGAATTTTTTGGGAATTGTTAAATGAGGATTTTAACGGAGCGGTCACTAAAAATATCCCAGTGTCGGGAATGGGGAAATGCAGCTCCAGGGAATCCCAGAGCCCCTTCCAGGAATCCAGGGAGAGCTGGAGAGGGATTGGGATCAGGCAGGACACAGGGAATGGCTGGAAAAGCGGAGATTTAGATGGATCTTGGGAAGGAATTCCCAGCTGGGATGGAATTCCCAGGGCAGTCGGAGGTGTCCCTGCCCGTCCCACCCCAAATATTCCGGGATTCTCCCGAGTGATTCCCATTCCTTGGCGTGTTGGGATTGAAAAGAGCCTTGGAGCATCCCTGAAAGTGGGAACAGAATTCCAGAGCCCCAGGATTGTCCAGGGAAAAGCTGTGTCCCAGTGCTGACTGGAAAGGGTTAATTCCCAGGACTTTCCTGTGGGATTGAAGTTCGGGATAGAGCTGGGAATCCTCCAGCCCTGCCCGG